CTTTTATTTATTTAAAAAAACAAAAACAAAAACAAAAAACAACGTATTTTAACACACACACAAAAGTAGAGAGAATTGTGTACAGAAGCCCACATACCCTCCACCCAGCTTCACTAGTTAACAATATTTTGCCAATCTTATTTCATCTATTTGATTCCTCCACTCTTTTTCTGGTTTTCTTTTTTCTGGAGTATTTTAAAGCAATTACCAGGTTTCTCACAATTTCATTCATAAATATTTCAGTATGAGTCTCTAACAAGATAAAGACATTAAAAATATACTGATAATGCCCCGATTATAACTAACAAAATTCATAGCATTACAGATGCCTGGGCTGCAGGTGTATTTCAGCTGGCCATGGATAAACGTGGTCTTTATCGTCTTATTATGTAAGATTCTCTATGGTCTTTTCAGAGCAATCAACAGAAACTTTTTTACTTTGACATAATTTCAAATTTGCGAAAGGCTTACAAGAATAGTACAAAGAATTCCCATGTAGTCTTTATCCATATTCCCCAAATGTTGACATTTTACCATATAGTGTCTATCCTTCTCTTCATATCTAGATTTATACTTTTTTCTTGAAATTGTTAGTATATTGCAAATGTGGTGCCTTTTTGTCCTTAAAAATTCTCTTAAATAACTACAGTACAACAATCAAACTCAGGAAATGAACATGGATATAGTGCTATTATCTAATCTATAGAACTTATTGAGATTTTTCCAATTGACCCAATGATGTCCTTCAGAGCAAAAGAAAATCCTGGATCATGTCAGTTATCATGTCTCTTCAGTACTCTTTGCCTTGGAACAGTTTCTGAGTCTCTTTATGTTTTATAAAATTGGTATCTTTGGAAAGTTCTGGTCAGACATTTTGCAAAATGTCCCTCAATTCAGGATTATCTGATATTCCTCATGATATAATTCAGGTTATGCTTTCTTGGCAGGAAGATCACAGACGTGATCTTTTGTCCTTCCCAGTTTATCATATCAGGAGGCATATTGCATTGATCTGTCCTATTATTAGTGAGGCTAACCTTGATCACTTGATTTACTTAGAATTTGCCAGCTTTCTCCACTGTAAAGTTACCTTTTCCCTTTGTAATTAGTATCTTGTGAGAAGATACTTTCAGATTATGCAGATATCTTGTCATTTCTCAAACTCCCTCTTTCATAATTTTAGTATTTATTTGTGATTTTTGTCTGAATCGATACTTATGATGGAAGTCAAATAGTAATTTTCTAAAATATTATTCCTTTTGTATTCATTGAGTTTCTATAAGGAAGAATTTCCCCCTCTCCCCCATGTTTTTATTTACGTATTTCAATGTAGATTTGTGATTCTTATTTTTTAAAAACAGGCTGTAATCCTTTCCTTTTATTATTTATTTTGATGCTCAAATTCTGCAAGAGTTAGCCAGTGACAGCCTCCCTAAACTGGCCCCTGTGTCCTTTTGACATGTCCCCATTATTCTTTGATCACTTCTTTACCATCTTCATAACAAGATGTTATGGGCTGATCTCATCCTTTCCCTGCCCCAGCCCTTGAAGCTGCCATTTCTCCAAGGCCCTGAATCCTTTTACAGGAGAAGGGCATTTAAAAACTAAGATCTAGACATTAGGCAACCCCACTGCTACTGGGGTGTCACTGCTTTTAGGCCCTCTTAGTGGACAGTGCTGGAAAATAGATGTCATATACACACACCCACCCACACACACACACACATACACACATACACACATCCATCTCTCTCTATATATACATATATGTTTTATATAATATTATATGTCTAAAATTTATAAAATATATAAACATATTAGATACATAATATATTAGATATATATATATCTAAAACCATGATAGATTTCATTGTCTTATTATGTTAGATTTTCTAATCCAGAGGCACAGGGTTCATTCTAGTCTTCTCTTTTCCATAATTGTAACTTCGTTCTCAGATAGTGAGAAACCTGGCTCCCACTATCCACAATGTATTACTTGTTCAGAACATAGTTTCAGAATTGCTAACCCACACTGCTGTGAAAAGGAAGCCTACTAACTGCAGTAAAATATTTGTTTAAAGTTCTTTTTGCTTTTGGCCTGAGGACACAGTAGTGTAAATACTATATTCAAATATTACTGGGTTAATTTTTTTCCTGGGTAATTATGTTATTCAAAACTGTTCTGTTGAAATGCTGTTCTGTGAATTTGTTTCTGTTTGTATTCCATCTTAGGGGTTTTCTCTATCCTTGTTGATCTTATATTTTATTTGTTTTAAGCATATGAAACATTAACATGACCCCCCAAACCAGAACTGTTCAAAAAGTTATGCTCAGAAAAATGTCGTTTTCCCCAACTCCACAATTTTTCTAATCTTTCCACCCCATTCCCTACCAATGTCCTGTAGGTAACCAATCTCAATAGATCCAGGTTTATCCTTCAGGTGTTTAATTTTGCACAAGTAAGCAGATAGATGATTATTTCCTTGTTTTCCCTTCTTTCTTACATGAAAGAATACTAAGCATAGCATAAATTGTCCCCTGCACTATCAAAAAACATTTTAAGGCACTTTAGTTTAGTTCTTTCTTGTAGTTTCTAACTATTTCTTATATATCTTGGATCCTCTGTGACTTAGCAGGCTCTTAGAATCTTAAATACACTGAGGTGAAACTGTATAAAAGACTAAGACAGGTGTGGATTTTTTTTAAAAAGTGGGCTTTATTCTCTGCTGGACAAGCATTCTCAACTAATAATTCTAGAAAAAGCTCCAAACCCATTACAGGTGGAAAACACCACGCTCAAACCCCAGATCCTTGTTTCAGAAACAGTTCCTCTCTCAGCCAGATGTCCTTTCCTGTTAACAGAGCTGGTCATCCACAAACAAAATAACCAGAGCCTGGAACAAACAGCTTCATGGATTTTTGTAAGTTTAAAGATTTAAAAGTCAAACAGGCAGTCTTTTACCCAAAGTTGCCACTCTCACTTGAATATAACTTTGCTTGGCTTATAGGCAGCCCAGTCCTCCTGGCAGAGGTTCTTGGGAGAAGGGGGGCCACTGGGACCCCTGCTTTTCCTGGCAGGTAACAGGATGCACCTGCTCAGAGCTCCAGCCGCCAGGATGCACAGCACAGCTGTTTTTTCTTAGTCTGAATAAGCTAGATTTAGAGGTAACAGAGGGATGGAAGCAGGAGAGCAGAAGAACAATTCCCCATCTGTCTGTTTACCTTTTAGCAGTTCTCCTCCCAGAGACTCAAGCACTGGAAAGGAACGTGGTAGAATTTGTCTCAGATCCCCTAGGGGTTAGCAGGTGGCCCCTGAATACTGGTATAGATAAGCCAGCCTGCAGCCAGCCAGGATGCACCCACAAGCAAAGAATCCAACGGAGGCAATTAACACAGGCCATTACCACTGGCTCCTTTACCATCCCAAGCTTTGTCTAGATTCAGATCGGTCTAATCAATTTTTGGAAAATATGTGTAACTCATCTTGGAAAATATGTACAACTCATCTCTGACAAAACTAGACCAATTCAGTGGGGACTCTATCCTGCTTAGATTAGAGAACAATGATCTGCCCCATGGTCTGGCTGTGGATTATGAGCTGTAGGGAAACTGCTCTTCAGACCATCCTAGGAAGCAAGCAGGGGCTGGAGAGTGCTCAGACCTCCTTGGTCTGTCCTCTGTAGGATTTAGCCATGGATAGCTCATGAGACCTGGAATGTCCCTTGCTGTGAATTTCAAATCCAGCCAGAGCATCATAGAGTTTTTCAAGGATGTAACCACAGATACTGGTGATGGTGAGCTCTTCAGGCCTTCCATAAACCTGGGCAGTACAGACATTCGCCCCAGCCCCCAGGACTTACATGTGTCACAGCCCCATTGTAAATAAGAGGGCGTTTCTCACAGGAGCTCCAGACCAGCAGCATGGATGGATGCCCTCTCTCCCGTGTCAATGATGCCAATGCATAAGCAGCCCTTGCCTTGGGGAGACTCCCTGCTTCTGTCATTGCTGCTTCAGAGGCTGGGGGATGTGGTACAAAAAGCGCTGAACTTAGAGTTGGAGCCTCTTCAACAAATCTGGCCTCTGCAACTGTATGTGACTGGAGTCAATTCACAGAGATGACTCAGCCCCCATAGGCTCAGCTGTAAAAGGGACATGATAATAAGGTTAGCTACCTTATAAGAGCTGGGCAAACATTGAGTAACAGAACCATAATTAATGTGTGTTGTCAGAACTATAAAATATTCTTTTAAAATGTTTGCTGTCTCTCCCATAAAGTGGACACTTGCCCACTGTCTATTCCAACAGTGCAGCCTGGGGAGTGGGGAGGTGAGCAGTAGTCCCAGCTAACGCCGCAAATCTACCTCCAGGTGTTCACCAGTCACCTACGCTGTGTTTAGCACAAAAAAACATGTAGGATCAGGTTGCTTCTCTCCAGAATTACCATGAATTAGGAAGAAAAAAATGCAACATTTAGGAAGAGAGAATTCCGTGTGACCTGGACCTTTCAGAGAAATCTTTATGGAGAATAGAATGTGAACACTGGGCCTCACAGGGAGGCCAGGATCTGATGAGGTCAAGAGAGAAAGGAAATGTCACTGCAAGTATTTGGTATCATCTTTGTGGTAAATCAGGATCCTATAGCCTTGAAGGCATAGGTTTTTCACTGTGTATTAGTTATTTCTCAGAGACATCCTTGTAGTCTTGTTAGAGACTGTTACACTTAAAGATGTGGGAGGTGTTGGGAGTGATCGTGGAGTGCCGTGCCCTCCCCACCCGGAGTGAAGCTTGTTCTGGGTACTGGCTTCACAGCTAAGCAGGTATGGCATCTCTGCATCCCCTTCTTGACTTTGAGGAAATATTTGTCATGGAGACTCATGTTTCACAAGCACCTACCCAGTGCCAGGCTGCACTGGGCTCCTCACAAAGGCCCCATGACATCAATGTGGTTATTGGCATTTTACTGATGAGGCAAGTGACGGCTTAGAGAGTAGCTCAATAGTGTCACACAGCCAGGATGTGAACCCTCTGGAAATAAATGAAGACCACGAAAAGGACAACACACACCTCCCAGGGGATTTATTTAGGGGGTATACTTTGGTTTCTACAGGTGTCTCCATGGAAGCCATCCTGAAACTCTTTGGAGAATATTTCTTTCAGTTCTGTTAGATGTCTGGCTGTGACAGGATGCTACGGACACTGGGAGGAAATCTCATGGAGTTTATTGAAAACCTGGATGCCCGCCACAGTTACCTGGCAATCTCTTATCAGGTAAGGCCACTTGAGTTTGGTCTTGGCTGCCCAAGAGGAAGCAAATACTGTGGCAGTCCTGGTCCAGCTCCTGCCTCCCCCTACGGAGGTGCAGTTGTAGGAGAACCCTCCCACCTGCAGAATCCTTGGTACCTGGTATTGGTGGGCCCGGGAGTTCTTTTTGGAAGAGAATGAAAAAGAAACACCTGCTGGCCACTTTTATAAACTGGCTCACAAAAACCGAAGGGATGGCCTTTTCAGATAGGGTGTGGTGTTGATTTGGAAGTAAATCCTGGAGACTGATTACAATTGGAACAAAGGCTGGAAAACAGTCAGGTTTCAGTGCATTTGCAAAAGCTCTCCTAAGGTTTCCTGGCCATGATGGAGCTGATAAATTGCATATGCAGCCAGATTCATGTTATTCATGTATCAGAAGGGAAGATTTGACAGGGCTAAGAGCCAGAATCAGAAACCATCCAACTCTGATTAACCCATGGGTGACCGACTGAGGTGTTAGGAAACTAATTTCCCTACCGGGATATGCCCTCCTGGAGTTCTTTCCTTGGGTTTCTTGTTTGTAGAGATCACTAGAAATTCAAACATCTATTTTCTCTTTTATTTTTTAGACAAGAAAAGGTGAAAGAGCATTTATATATATCATAATAATAGTTTATTACTTTAGAGAAAATAGTTTAATTTTAGGGCCTTTATACTTCACCGAGATCTTCCTTCACCATTTCTATACTGGTGTTCATATCCACCCTTTCGGGGTTGTCATGGGGACAAAATGGGATTGTGGATGTTAAAAAGCCTCAGCAACCCTTACACTCCCCATAGACAGTACATGGGAAAAGTATTATTTTCTCCATTTTTCGTATAAGGAATCAGAGGCTTGGAAGCCTTAACTGACTTCAATTACGAGTCATGAATAGTTGGGCATGAATAGCCAGGCCTGTCCTATTGTTATCATGTGAACTACTCAAGGGTAGAGGGAGTGGAAAGAGCCCTGCTTATGGGGTCAGATGGGCCCACGAGGCTGTCCCACTGGCTCTATAACTTAACAGCTGTGCGATTCTGGCAAGTTAGTTGCCGTCTCTGAATCTCAATGTATTTTATTTAATAATATTTATTGGGTGACCAATATTTATTGAATGAGAGTATGTATCAAGCACTTTTTAAGGTATTGGACACAAACAGAGACAAAAAGAAATAAGTAGGAAAAAAAATAACCTACCTCATAGCAATATGTGGATTACAAGAGATAAGATGTAATCAGTCCAGAAAAATCAGCTTTCCATAAATAAATAATAACTCTATACCTTCCCCTTTCTTTTCTCTCTGTTCAATGTGGCCAGTTTAATAATTATGATAATTTGCATGACAACCTCCTTTCAATTTCTTAGCTAAAGCACAACAATCAGGATATAAAGAAATACAGTTAGGCCCTTTTAATATTTTTTATAATGCATATATTTTTTATTCTATGATCTTTTTTCTTTGCTTTTTTATAATTTCAGTTTTTTGAAAAAGACTCAGAGGGTACATACGCAGGCTTTTTACATGGGTATATGGCATGATGCTGAGGTTTGGGTATGATTCATCCTGACACCCAGGTAGTGAGCATAGTACCCAATAGTTTTTCAACCCTCGACCCCCATCCCTTCCTCCCTCCTCTAGTAGTCCCCGGTGTCTGTTGTTGCCATCTTTATGTTCATGTGTATTCAATGTTTAGCTCTCACTTATAAGTGATGCTACAGAAGCAATAGAATAGAACTTCTCTGGTGGTATTTGAGGACATTTTGCATATAATGAGATAAATAAAATATTTAAATATTATAATATACAAGTTGGAAGAAGATACATGCAATGATACCTAACAGCTATATAGTGCTTTATTCTGGGCAAAGTATTATAGATTGTCTCTTCAGGCAAAAATAACAACTTAAGATAATGTTCACTTTTTTTGTGTCTGTCTAATAATTTGGCAGTGCCTTTGAGGCATACATTTCTGGTTATAACTGAGCCTTTAATCTTCTTATGCTTTAGCTAACCTTTATTGAGTGCTAATTATGAAGCAGGTATTGGGCTAAGTAATGTGTCAACATTGACTTATCTTCCTGATGCCATTAGAGTTGGCAGTCTTATTTTTCCTATTATGCAGATGAGAAAACTGAGGTCCAGAAAGGTCAAGTAACTGTCCCCAAATCACCCAGGCATGGTGGCTGAGCTGGATCCAAACCCACACATGTCAAATATCACACGGCTTTAGGCGTACAGCCCTATTTCTGGGCTTTCTATTCTGTTCTGCAATGTTACCTAACAGCTAGACAGTGCTTTATTCTGGGCAAAGTATTATAGATTGTCTCTTTAGGAAAAATTTTTTTTTATTCTGTTATTCTTTGCCCTGATTCTCCACTTTTAAAAAAAAGTAGAACACGTGTTCTATTCTTCAGTAACATCAGAAGAGATCCCCTTTCTCCCAGAAATGTTTGACATTCAAGTACGTTCATTTCACAGTAAATGGATGTATACCGGAAAGAAGAATAGAGACTTTTGCCTGGGGGAGTCTCTAGCTAGTTAGTAGACAGTTCAGTACCCTGGACACAAGCTTTTGGCCATGAGGGAATAGGGTAAAGGAGATGTTCCTTCAGATCTTTGTCCGTCTCATGGTGAAAGGTTGTTAGTTAAAAGGGTTTCTTTTTTTCCACAATACTTTTTGTATCTTTTTTTTTTTTTTTTTGAGATAGGATCACACTCTGTTGCTCCAGGCTGGAACTGCGAGTGGCAGCGATCACGCTCACGACACTCTTGGCTGCCCTAGGCTCAAGTGATCTCTTTCAGCGCTCAGAGCCCTGGGCTGGATTTATAGGCAGCGCCCCCACCATGGCGCGTAGCTACTTTGTTTTTTTTTTTTTTTTTTTTTGTGGAGATGGGGCGGCTTGCTGCAGGGTGCCGCAGCTGGGTCTCAAAACTTCCTAGGCTTCAAATGATCATTGTCCACGCTCGGCTTCCAAAGAGTGCAAGATTACAGGCATTGACACCATGCCCACCTCAAATACTATTGTTTTTTTTATAATTCCAAAAGTGTGTACCCTAGAGAAAGTATAGTATATTTATTTGGGTATGTATGTGGTTTACTCTTGACAAAATGTAAAGAGTACTTGAGGCAGCTACATATAAAAAGCATCAATAAAATAGGAATTAGCGTTAATTTAAAATTATTCCAAATCCTACATAGTGAAAATAAAGTAACCAGAATACAAGAGGCCTGAAAGAAAGTCCCACGTGATCCTGTTTCATCCGCCCTCACCTCCTTAGCCCTGCCCAGAGACACTTCCAAAAGTTTGTGCTTTGTTCTTCTGGTCATGTCACTAAGTCTCTAAATAATATAGTTATTTCTTGTACTTTCTATACTTTCATTTCTTATACTTTTATTTCTTGCTTCAAATAGGCTTTTTAAAAGTGGAGAATCAGGGCAAAGAATGAACGAACTAAAAAAAATTTTTCCTAGAGACAATCTATACATCACTTTGCCCGAATAAAGCACTATATAGCTTGTTAGGTATCATTGCATGTATCTTCTTCCAAACTTGTATATTATAATGATTTAATATTTTTTATTTATCTCATTATATGCAAATGTCCTCAATACGCACCAGAGCAAGGTTCCTACATTCTATTGCTTCT